TAAAAAAATTAATGTATAAAATAATAACACTAAAGAAAGTGAAAATACAAAACCATGAAGAGAGCAATAATTTTAAAAAATAGTTTTAAGATCCTTATTGTATTTATCGTAAAAGTTCTGTGGTATAAGATGGATGGGGCAACAGAGCTCAAACACCTGTTGGTCAGGATTCGATAATTGTCATTTCAACACAGGGCATAAAGCCAACTATTTAACCCAAACAAATCTGTTCCCTGCACTTTCGGAAGAAAAATACAAAACATTTGTCTTCTGCACCTTAAAGAAAGATAACACTTTGAGATAAAGAGTTGAAAAGCATTTATAGATTGAAATGTACAAGTACGCAGTTACATCTGTGGCTGGGCATCTTTATAAGTGCAGCCTCACTCTTTATTTATATCAGTCTACTGCACCACATAAAGACAAAGTGTTAAATTTCAAGGGAAAATATTAATTATTTTCCTACATCATACCTTTTCTTCTTGGGCTTTCGCAGTTTTTAAATAACACATTTATTAGATCACCAGCCAGTATAAATGTAATCCTGCTGCTGCCCTAAATTAACATGATTAGTACTTACCAAAATATTTTGTTATGTTTCTGTAATCACTATATAGCAAGATACCTACCTACCCTACAGTATTAGAAATCGGCATTTGTGGGAAGGAGGAACTCACTTTAAACAGGAAGAGACCTCCAGCAGATCCAGGCAAACCTTTACAAAACTGTGTGTTTTTCAACTAATTTAAAAATTATATTTTAGCAAATACTTAGTTAATTAGAGAATGTGCTTTGAATTCATGACCCCCACAGATTGTAGCCAAAACATGTCGATTATGGATATGAAGCCATTAGGGTGGATGACCAAAACATACAATCCAGAAAACTGAAAAAGAAAAGAAAAATCCCCAAAAAATCCATAACTTGTGGTACTCTGTAAAAGCAAGATAACAACAACACACTACCACTACAGAAAAGTCTGAAAAATTGAATGAAAGTGTACCCGAAAGTCAGATGTTTTTGTGGAGAACCACAGCTACTGCAATAAAAAGAAGAAGTGCACAAACAATCACAATGATTGAAGAGATAATTTTACAGAGTCTTCTTCTGCGCTCTGCTTCTTTCCTTATCAGTAAAGAATCAAATCCTGGTGTGTAAAGATCCTCGAGCCAGAAATCCAGATCTTTAGGAGTCTTGTCCTCTTCCTACAAAGAAAACAAAGACATGAAACAGTGTATGAAAAAGTGCACCAAGATTCTTGTTGTTAGACATAAATGTGTGTTTGTAACATATCTGTTCCCTTTAGCAGACTCAGGCTGCTTGAAAGAAAGCAACAAAAGAACAGGAATCTAATGTAGTCAATGGGCATCTGTTGGCAGAAAAGAATGGCGCATATTTATTTATTTTTTTAATGCATAGGAAATGTTCTTCCTGTGTACATACAAAGGCAGCAGCTAATGAGGCTGACCTCTAAAGTTTAAGGCTTACCATCCGAAAAGACTGGCTGCTGCACCGTCAAAGAATAGTGGCACATAACATGTGCTGCACAGGCGAGGGACAGAGAGCTAACTGTTGCATTAACCTGCATTAACATTTGCTACAATCGCAAGAGTAGCGTACCACTGGTCACTTTTGAATCTTAGGATTTCTGGCAACATGGACTACAGAAATAGAAAGGCAAATCATTTCTATGTTGCATCTTTACACACAACAACACAAACAGCAGCAAAGTAAGCTAAATAATGACTCCTAAATTGAAGATTTGCGGTTGTTGAACACCATAATTTGATGGTTACACATCAACTAAAAGTGTGCAGATACATTTTGTTCAGAAATATACGTGACCACTGCAAATCATAGTGTTCTCCCAGAAGCGTTCCTTCCCCTAAACATGTTTATTTACTGAAATTGAAACAAAAAAGTTTTAAGTCAACACTTGATGACGGCATTTTTTATTTTCCTTAATATTTAAAGTGCAGCTGGTAAGCTATAAGTACTGTAGTAGTGACTTAGCAAATATTGACTCAGGGGTGAAGGCACGCTAATGCTAGCAAGACAGGAATATTTTTAGTCCTTCAGTGGTCAGAAAAACTAGTTAAGAGAAATATATCACATTATGTTAATATGAAAGTTATCAAAGCCACCTAAAAGTGTAAGTATTAAACCATCACAGACATCATCTGGAAAGAAGCTCCAAGGGTTAAATGGTATAAATAAAAACTGGTATTTACACCAAAACGTGGGGATTTTATTGAATGTAGGACTTTTTGATTAGATCCAAAGAGAGTATATTTGGAAATCAACAACTGAAAATATGCAAAAATGCATACTTGTGGGAAAATGAATAAAACTGTTTAGATGGCAATCATCATATTAGAAGACCTTAGTCAGTGATTTTTGGTCAGCAACTGAGCCCTAAGCATTCACTTACTCATATCTTCTTTATTTCTTTTGGTTCTTT